TATCAATGAATGACAGCAATGATACAAGGGAGGGAGGGAGGGAGAAATTGGGATTATTTTACTACATAAGATACTTGCACTACCTACAAAGTGGTTTAGTATTATTGAAAATAGACATGAATTAATTTTAAATGTATATGGTAAACTGTCAAGCAACCATTAAAAAAGTTTTTAAAAAATTAACTGATATGCAAAAAAGGAGAGAATGAAATCATATAAAATCCTATATAATAAAAACCTAATATGCAAATTGTCCCCTTGGGCGGTAGTTCGACTGAGAGACCAGGAGTTCGACCGCTCTCTATGATGTGCATTGACCACCAGGGGGTAAGTGCAGACCATGGCGGGCATCTGCGGCGCGCTGCGACCTCTTGCCAGCTACCTGGGAGCAGGGGTGACAGGGACAGAGGTGTGGTGAGAATGTGGGGTGTCTGCTGAGCTCGCTCTAACTCCCCCTGCTTCCCTCCCCTGGGAAGCCAGGGCTTGCGTGCCGGGGAAGCCCCCACGCTCAGGTGCCAGGCGCCTGCGAGCAGCCCGCCCTGCACCCGCACAGCCTCTTCCAGGTGAGCCGGGACCACAGGGGCCGATCAGCATCCCCGTGGGTTTGTGCAGGAGCCGGTCTGCGAGGCCAGCTGGGAGAGAGCCTAATGCCCGCCTGGCTTCTGTGCAGCACCGCTGGGCGGCCCAGAGGCCCACGCTGCACCCCAGCCCACGGCGTCCGGCCATGCTCACTGCATCCCTGCGTGGGTACTCGGGCACCATGACTCAGGCAGAGGGGGGTGTGCGGGGATCTGGGGGGCCCAGGTGCTGCTCAGGATCCAGAGGTCAGCTGGGATCTGCTGTTCCATGCCAGACGCTCGAGCTTCGATAGCTGTCCAGGTCTAGGGACCAGACCCCGTGCATGAATTTCATGCACTGGGCCTCTAGTGGTCAATAAATCCACAAAAGACTTTGGGAAAATTGAAATACAACAATAGAAATGAAGATCAAGGGTAACAAACAGAAAACTGTACCACATATGATAGAGATTAATTCAACTGTATCAGTAATCACTTTGAACATAATGACCTAAATATTCTAATTAAAAGACATTGAAGAATGAATAAAAAAATAAGACCCAAGTATACGTTGTCTATAAGAACAACATATGAGCAATGATATAATGATAAAAGGGTCGATTCTCCAAGAAGACATAACAATCCTTAGCACGTATGTATTTAACAAAAGTGTGTCAAATTACATGAGGCAAAAACTGTTGGAATTGCAAGGAGAAATAGATGTACCCATTGTTGTAGGTGAAGACGACATGGACAGATCCAACAGGCAGAAAATCACTAAGGACAAATTGAACACATTAACTCTGTCAATCAACTGGATATAATTGACATCTGCAGACTACTAACCCAGCAGCAGTATACACATTCTTCTCAATCTCTCATGGAGCATTAACCCAGATAGACCACATTTTGGGTAAAAAAACAGATCTTAGCAAAAAAAAAAAAAAAAAAAAAAAAAAAAATTATACAATGTCTGCTCTCAGACCACAAGGAATTAAACTATAAATGAATAAGAGAAAGGTAATTTAAAAATCCCAATATACGTGTAGCTTAAATAACATACTTCAAAGTAATACATCATGGGTCACAAAGAAATCTGAAGAAACTTAAAAGGTATTTTGAACTAAATGGAAATAAAAACAAATGATCAAACTTTATGGAATGCAGTAAAACATGTGCTTAGAGAGAAACTGATAGCATTGAATGCATGTAATTAGAAAAAAAGAAACATCTAAAGTGAATAATGTAAGTTCCCACCTTAGCAAAGCAGAAAAAAATTAAGTCCAAAACAAGAAAAGAATAAGAATTAGAATAGAAATCAATACAGAGTATTAATGAAATAAAAAACTAATTCTTTGAAAAGATGAACAAAACTGACAAGCCTATAGTCAGGCTAGGTAAAACAGAGAGGACACAAATTATTAATATCGGCAATAAAAGGGAATATCACTACAGATCCCATGGAAATTACAAGGTTAATAAAAGAACATTATGAACAACTCCATGGCCACAAACCTGATAGCCAAGGTGAAATGGATTGATTCCTTGAAAGGCACTATCTGCCAAAACTCAATAGACAATCTGAATAGGACTATATCTATTTAAGAAGCTGAACCAATAATTTTTCAAAATAGAAAGCACCAAGGAAAATACACCTCTCCCAAGACATATGAACAACCAATAGATATATGAAAAGATGTTTAACCTCACTGGCAATTAGGGAAATGCAAATGAAAACTACAATGAGATACCTACCACCTTATACTTGTTAGAGTGGCCATTATCCATAAGATAAGCAGTAAGTGTTGGAGAGGTTTTGGAAAAAAGGGAACCCTCATTCATTGCTGGT